AGTTGATGAAAAAAAATAAGTTAGATGCACTGGTGTCACCCTTCAAGACTCTCTCTCTCATTCTCGCGAAAGGCCAATTCCCGGGTATTATTGTTCCGGCTGGGTATAACAACGAGGGGATTCCATTTGGTATCACTTTTGGAGGTTTGAAGGGTTCAGAGCCTAGACTGATTGAGATTGCTTATGGCTTCGAGCAGGCTACTAAGATCAGGAAGCCTCCCTCTTTTAAACCTTGAAGCAGTAATTTAATCTTATATTGAAATATTAGAATTTGTACTGGCATGGTACCTGAAATAATTTTAGTAAATATGCAAATTGCAAGTCAATGTAGCACATACATGTACTATTGTGCTTTGCAATGAAATAACATATTTCTTCTTGTTCTAATTCTAATAATAGCATCCCTAGTTTTCATGTAAAGTTATCTTTGAATTACATTTTAGAATTTCAGTGTTTTAGTTTTCATCTAACGTTATTTTTGAATCACAATTGTTTTCTTGATTCTTTTTGCCCATTGAAAATGTGGAACACATGCATGTGGTCTCCAACACTTCTTGGAGGACATTTTTTGTGTAGCGGACTGGTGTGACAACAGGTGAGCGCTTGCTCATTACCTAAAAGTTTAAGTTATTGAGTAGTGTTGCCTATCCATTACTTAAAACTTTAAGCTATTGAGTAGTGTTGCCTATTTACTCATTTATACTCAATCACTTTCTCATCCGGATTTAATGTGTGACAGATCTTTCCTTGTAACATTCTCTCCCAACCGAACTTGCAGTGGTCGGGCCTCTCTGCCTATCCAGGTGACTCACCCGAACGCCTTCCGGGCCGGGCGCTTGTCGTGACACCGGATTAAGAACTGAATCTGGCACTAATACCAACTGTAACGGGAGGATGTTTGCCTATTTATCCAAAAACTTAAATTGTTGGATAGTGCTACATATCTACTCATTTATATCCAATCAAAAGCGGATAGAAGGGTGGGCCTAGGTGGGCTGTAGCCCACCCAAAAAAAAAAAAAAAAAAATATATATATATATATATATATATATATATATATTAATAGTATTAGCCCACCCCAATATTAGTCTACCCAATCAAGCCCAAGTCAACTCAACTTGTAACAACCCGAACCGGGGGTCTGAATCTCTAACCTACTCCTTAACCAAACCCGAGGACATACTAGGGGTAAAATGGTTATTTAACAATATAAGAGGATAATCCATCCTTAAATTAATCAAATGAGGTTTTAAAACAATCATTCTAATCATCCCATGATACTCGGTGAGGTTCTACAGTTATCGATTATGATTTTCCAAAAGTACCCTTACTCGGTTCAAGGGGAATCCCGACACTATTCTACTAAAACAATTATAACTCTTCACATGAATGGCATTTGAAGATGAGGTTGGTTTCATTGGAAAAGCTAACTCAAAATCCTTGAAAATAGGCTTACAAATGACCCCTATTTGGATTTGGAACGAAGAAGTTATGACTGAATCAAGTTAAGTAATCTATGTTGATAAACTGTGAAGAGTAAAAAGTCCACTAGAGGATTTGAACCGGTTCCCAATCTTGGTACCATGAACCAAAAACATCCTTGAACCGGTTCTGCAAGGGCTGAACCGGTTCTGCAAGACCAGAACCCTGAAAATAGCCTAGAAAAGCCCAAAACTGAGTAATTATGCATATGTCACCCCTTTGGTCCCTTGGTGACCCTAATTAAATTTAAAATGTGTCCCAAATCATGAATTCATTAGTGTGTGAAATATAATTAAACTCCCGTGCCTTCAATTAAACTGAATACTTGTCCAATACATCATTTAAAAGCAAATAAGTCCAATTACATCAAAATATGGGCTTCAGGCCTTGCGTATATAACTTTAAATCAAAATTGAATTTCCATCCATGCTTTAGATACAAAACATAACTCATTATAATTTTACAACAAAATTGAGATAAATACATCAATTACAAGAGGGAAATCGAAATCCCATCTAACCCAACTATGGTTATGGGGGTACTATCCGCTACCTCTTTTCCGTGACTTGAAAAACGTAGAGGGGTGAGCACAAGCCCAGTAGAGAATGCCTAAGTGGCATCTCCTCAAGTAAGGTAAGTAATTACATACCTTACAAACAATGAATTGGATGGAGCAATGTTAAAAGAGATGAATCCCAAAAATATTCATGGGTGGATATGCAGCACTACCCAACAATTTGAACTTTTGCGTTAATGGGCAAACTTTTTTTTTTTTTTTTTTTTTTTTTCGAATTTCTATAACTCATGTTTAACCTATTTTTAAAAGTTTAAATCTTGTCAAATAAAAATGCTAGTTCATTGTTGGTAGTTTTTACTATAATATATCATTGTTTTATTTACATTAACATATACACAAATATATTATCCATTACAAGAATTTAAGAGAGAATGGTGTGTGAGTATATTTTTTGCCAAGATATATATATATATATATATATATATATATATATATATATCAATAAATGCAATAAGAAAATAAAATATTACACTAATTTCTCCTCATATTTAATAAAAAATACATAAATCCTTTTTTATTAGTCATTTTCATGAGAAATAATAAAAACTTTAAATATTATGATACCAAAATAACAAGAATGTCAATAATAAGAATATAATCATATATGTTAATATTTATAGTTGTCATATGTTAGATGACAAATTCCACAGCTATTCTTTATATAAATTATTAAATTAATTCTCTATTTTGTTATATTAATTATGTTTTGATAAACTTTTTTTAGTGAAAATGTTATATTTTTTTCTTAATATTTCATAAAGAAATACACATCTTTCTAAAAGTAGAATCAAAGTAATTAAGTTTTTGTTTTTTAAGAATCAAAGTAATCAAGTTTTTGTTTTTGAAAAATCAAACAATTGTGGAATAAAATTTAATTCTTGAATAATACTTTTTCTTTACAACTTTTTTTTTTTACTTGTTCTCTAATTTTTTTTTTTTCTTTTTCAATTCAACTTTCATAACTACTTATTTAGGTTCATTTTTCTCAGTTTTTAGATTGTATTTTCTTCAATATATAGAAACTAATAAAAGTAGTATTATAAAGAAATTATATTATAATTTTTATTTATAATACAATTTAATTTTAATTTTTTAAAATTTTAATTATATAATACTAGTTCTTCGTAATGACAGAAGTCACTTATACCTTTACTTATCCTCCAAACCAAAATTTTAATCTTTCGGAAAATTAAAAAATAATAAAAAATTGGGAACTTCCTCAGTGTACACCAAACCTAAAGTAGTCTGTAAAGGTAACACAACACCCAAGCTGACACTCTTTTGCCAAATGACTAAAATGTCCATATACATATACATATGCATATATATATATTTATTTTTGTATATCATCGGAATTGAAGCTTGATTGAACATTCAGTGATTCCGAAAGAGCAGATTTAATTCTTCTACATCGAAGTTCAGATCTTGAAAAAAAGGGGTAAAACAATCACACTTTGAAAGAGCCAAAGAATTCGAGGAGTGTTGTTTGATTTACTAGCAATCCTTCTACAGAGATTAAGCGTAAGTCTTGGGTCAAGAGCTATTGGACTGGACGTCGTAAAGCCAGAAGATTGTCAACGATTAGTGTTTGGTAGAACGATAGGGTGTGAGTCTGAGTCAAAATTCATTGTACTTTGTTTCAAATATTATGGATTGGTTTACTCTGGACTGCATAATTCATGAGATTTTTTCCACAATAATCGGTCTATTATACCAATTGGGGTTTCTTCGCTATAATTCTGGTGCAATCTCTCTAACTCTACTTGCTTTACTTTTCAGTATTTATCTTTGTAATTGTGGATGTTTAATTGATTATATTACTTAAGTAATTTAATCAATCACAAAAATTAAACAAGTTGACTTATTAATCTCATTCAGATCATTAAATAAGTTAATCACAAAAAAATCAACTAGCAGCTACTCACACTCACATTTTAAAAATAAGCCTTGGACTAGTCTACTTCCTTTAATACTTGAAAGCTAGAACAGATTTTGCCCATCAATATCAAACTTGTGGAAGCTAGTAATTGTTGAAGGAGGACCACTAGGTTGTTTATCTTTCTCGCATGGTAATATCAATATACATATTGGGACCCAAACGAATGATATCAATATACATATTGGGACCCATCTTGACACCAAGTTTACCCATTCGGTCTTAGATTTTTAATCAGAAATTTGTGTGCACAAATACATATTTTGATAATGAAGTAGATAGGGAGTGATTGGTTAGGCCTTGGACTATTCTACACCCTTTAATACTTGAAAGCTAGAATAGATTTTGCCCATCAATATCAAACCTCTGGAAGGAGGACTACTAGGTTGTGTATCTTTCTCGTATCAGTATACATATTGGGACCCAAACGAATAATACGGAGTATCAATATTCATATTGGGACCCATCTTGACACCAAGTTTACCCATTCGTTTGGAATTGGAATTAAAAAAAAAAAAAATTAGCTCAAACTTTAATTTTTTTTTTTTTTTTGAATTTCAGATCCAAATCACCAATTCTTTACCACCAAACATAGCACATAAAGGGATTGTAAAACCTTAACTAAATTGTGACTTTCAATGCTTTGAAATCCACCTTAAATTCTAAGTTTCAATGTTTTGAAATTCACCTTATGGTTTGGCATATATTATTAAATCATAGATTATTTGGTGGTTTAGTACAATCAAAATTCATGTTCAAATTATGATGAATTTGCTTTTCTTAATAGGAGAGTTTTGATTGAATTGGATCACATGATCCAGTAATCCGGTCGAGCATATTTCTTGGCACAACATTCTCTCTTTTCGTGACCAGCTTGAAGGGTTAAAACACTTCATTCCAATTCGTTAACTTTGCCTCTCCTATAATGCTAATTTAGAATATGACATCAGTGAACCCATTGAATCACAGCAAATGCTAATTTATAACATTAACAAACCACAAGCAGTTTTCACAATTGACCAAAACATATTAACATTAGAAAATAGATATGTTCAATAGCTAAACACTGTGAATCAACAATTACAACAACAATCCATTAATATTCTTCTTAGTAAATTTGAAGTCAAGACTCTTAGCATCATAAAATTAATATGAAAAAAAATCAGACAATTTCCAGCATAAGAACAGCAGTGTTGTTAGGAAGTACCAAGGAATTAAGGCCTTCTGTTAATGGTTGGGTTGTCTTATGATCCTCTGAAGAACCAGAGTCCTTCCCTTGACAATATCCCGGCTGCACGTATCAGCTTGCACCCCCAAATCCTCAACATACTTCATAAACACTCTGAGCTTCTTCTTCATCTCCTCTATCCCATTCTTCACAGACTCTTCACTAATAGTGAATTCAGCATTCTGCAACAGCGATTCAATCTCTATCTCCAACCGGTCTATGAGTACTCGGATGTTGTCTAAGTCCTTGATAGCAACACGAGTGCCCACTTGCATAGAGCTAATGATCTCCTGTCCTTTCACAGCATCTTCATACTTCTTGAAAAGAGAATCAATCCACTTACCCATTGAGCCCAACGGGATAGAAGTGGCTGCAGTGAGGGCAGCTGCAACAGGCGGAGGGGCCATAGCCGCTGCCACGACAGAACAAATCAGCACAGCAGCCAACGTGGCTGCAAATATTACACTAGAGACCTTCCTCCAAGCACGGACATGTTTGAGCTTTTTATCGAGCCTGTTCCTCCGAAGCTGCAACTTCTCAAGCATCTGCATTTGCTGCCTATACACAGATTGATAAGTTTCGAAGAACTCTTCAGTGAAAGGGTCACCGGCAGCCTTAAATTTCTTCAATTCCTCCAGAGTCCTCGTGTACCTATTCCCTCCTCGGCCAACCCCATCCTCCTCCTCAAAATATTGGAGCGCGACAAGAATAAGCAATTGGCTGTTGCGTGCTCCCTTTAGGCATTTCTCTAATGCGGTACAGAAATCCAGAGTCTGCAAACTATTCTCAAAGTACTCCTGCACCAGATCAAACAGTTCCTGAGTCTTCCCCAAGTCCTTGCATTCCAAGATCACTCTAACAACCTCTTGGTTCATGTCCAGAAGACATTCCGTGACTTGTTTCAGAGAATCGAACGAGACTGCCCTCACTTCAACCCCTGCCGCGAGGGTGTTGAGGACATGACTAGTCCGGGATTGGAGAGTTGTGTCGAAGGACTGCAAATCTGTGTCGAGCCTGCAGGCGTCTTCATAAGAGCTGAGGTCGGTTGTGTATTGTATATTGATGGCCGTCGAAGGTTGTTCAGTGGGATTTTTGCTCGGGTGACTCCCCATGGTTTCAATTCAGATCGAAAACAGATCAAGAAAATAAATAAAACCAACTACAACTCGAAACCCTTTCCCTATGGTTGAGCAAGCTGTTTATAATGTTTCCTGTATATAATATGATCCTTGTAAGCAACAAATCAAGTTTTTGATTCAATCACAAAGTAAATGCTTACTCTATTAACACATTAAAATTAAAATTTATTGAAAAATGGAAAGCAATCTGAGAAACAAAATAATTCCAACAAATTGATTGAGAATATAAATGAAAATAGAACAAACCCACATCAACAAACCAAATGAATTTCAAAGATTGTAAAAGGAATTTATACTATATCTCCATAAATTTTACAAGTCTCCTTACTTCTTGATTCAAGCCTTTGAAACTGATCAATTGCAATATAAGGTATTGTTGAGATGTCTGTGGGTACCATTACTAGAAACCCTCATAAGACTACAACTCATCCACTTGGGGTAATCGAGGGGTTTAAAGGCTTGTTGCATAAGCTAAATGCAACCATGATTCCAACGAAAGCAACGCTTCAGTTCTGTATTGCTAAGGGACTAGCAATATGTAAGTTTGCTAAGACAAATTTTTGTATTTTTTGTATTGCATATCCGAGCCCTTAAATATACGTATTTTAAAGCCTAAAGTGAGACTTCTATTCATTATTAGACTTATTTATATTTAATGTGTGTTTATACGTACTTTTCTAGAGAAACGGTTAAAACTGGGACTTTATGATGATATCAAAGCTTACAGAGTCATTGCCGGTCATTCAGAGCAAGCTGAGAGTTTAAATGGTGAAGTTTGGAAGAATTCAGGAACCAAAGCTCGCGCCCTACAAGAAAAAGAAGAAAAAAATCAACAAGGCATTGAATCTCGAGCCTTGTACCTGATCGGTTGTGATAATTATACATCAACCTTTGTAATAGCACAAATCATTGTAAAATAGGGTTATTGGTCGGGTAGGTCGAACCACAGGGATTGCTAGCTTATGGCAACCAAGGTTTTAGAATCACTTTTAGAATGATGAAGGGTGTAAAGAGCTTTATTTGATTTGTCACTTAACTAATAATGAAATATTGCCTAAAACAGTAAATGAAAGGAATCTAAGATGAAAGGAACTTATGTAGAGAGGGCTCGGGAAGTGAATTCACCACCAACTATGTAAACATGCTTGCTTGCAAATAACTTGGGGGATAAAATATACATGTAATCATGATATATAGAAATGCAAGACAACTACAATATCTTCAAGAAGTTCACACATTCAAGAATTAAGTATAATCCATCAAAGGTTGGTATAATTCATCTATCTAAACTAAGGTGTAACATGAAATATCCTTCCTAAGCTATGAACTATCAAAGTCCTCAATTTATGTGGTAAGTGCACATGAAGTCAAAAGTTAAGAATAATCCATCAAAAGGAAGGCCCTAAGCTTGGACTATCAAACCTTCCATACAACATGAATTAAAATCATTTCATATTCTCATCTCCATTCTCATTAAGGAGATGTAAGCCCTATAATCATGAAAACATACAATCTAATACAAGATAATACATTTAACACAATCATTTACTGAATTGAAGAACATTTACAACATGTGTAAGTCTTTAGATATGAAAAGATTACATACACACTTCATTCCCCAAATCAAAACAAAATTATAGCATGCTTACAAAGAATGGCTTCATCACCTCCCTAGGATAGGGAGTTAGTTGCTCATGGATGCAAGAGAGGAAGAAGAAGAGATGAAAACCCCCTCCATTTTCGTGCTTAGAGGACCCAAAATATACAAAACCTCAAGAACTCTACTTTCTCTCTCTAAAAACCTTGCAAGAATGAGAGATATCTCCTTTCTTACCCATACATGCCTTATTATATCCACCTTATCCTTCCATATATCCCTAATTTCATGGCTTAAAAATCCCTAGAAGGAAGCGTAGCCATTCATTCTGTCAAAGGGGACAACTTTGAGCAAAATTATGGAGTCGGTGAGCGGACCTCTGCAAATTAGTGGGCGCCCACAGGCGCAGGGTAGGCGCTTGCTGGCGCACGAGCCCGTTGCTCATTTTGGCCGACACTCGCGGGTTTCTGGCAGGCGCCCGCGGGTCATCCTCAGCTCGACGCACCTTTAGTAAAAGGGCCATAACTCCCTACTCTGAATTCAAAATGATGAACCGTTTGATGATTTGGAAAGCTAACTCAAAGATCTAAGTACACCATATTTTAATAAAAGTCCAGTTCTCAAGTTTCGTAGGTCAAAAATGAAGAGAAAAGTTGAACTTCACTGCTGCCAGGCTGTTCTGCACACCTTTGGTAAAAAGGCCATAACTCTCTGCTCCAAACTCCAAATGACGAACCGTTTGATGATTTAGAAATCTAACTCAAAGGTCTAAGTACATCATGTTTTAATGGGAGTCCAGTTCTCAAGTTTGTTGGGTCAAAAATGAAGAGCAAAGTCGAACTTCAATGCTGCCAGGCTGTAAATTTCAGCATTGCACACCAAAACACCATTCTTGTTCCTTTTTGGGAAATAAACCTGAAAATACATATAAACATACGAATGAAGATAATCTATATAAAATAATGAAATAATGGACTTAACTAATGCAAATAAGGGCACTTGAATATGCAATATTCGGCGCTTAGCACACCCCCAAACTTACATTTTGCTAGTCTTTTAGCAAAACAAAAATGAATACACAATGAAATAACAAAATGGCTTTTCTTTGGGAGTGACGGTTGCATTTAGCATATGCAATAAGCCTTTTAAACCCCTAGGCATCCGTAGAGAATGAGTGAAGTCTCGTGAGGGTTTAACAGAAATGTTACCCACAAACATCAAACATGGTGCATAAAGTTGCACAAAGCTCATTTTCAAACTTGGAACATAGAGAATATTGGAGATGGAATCATTATGAAGACTACCTTATGTATATGAAGCATTGATAGAACAAAATGACTAATCATCTTTCAACTCTCATGTATTAACATCATAGTCTATATAAATACTTCAATTGTCATATCTATAATAGAAATCATCTCAAGCTTTAGTTAAAGTGAACTGGATTCCCAATATGTAGCTTTACCCTCTTTTTCTAATTTCAAAACAAAAACTTCAAATCATTGAATTTCCCTTTTAAATGAGGTCTCTAAGGCATGATTTTATTCAAAATACAACTTCTTTTTATTTTTTATTTTTTATTTTTTATTTTTTTTATTTATTATTTTTTATATACATATTATGGTCGTGCAATGCCGAAGTCCTTTAAGCTTTCTAACTAACCCATGTAGCAAGTGTTAGGCCAGCAACTCCCAAACCAGATGGCTTTAGGGTGCTAAGTGTAAAGACATTCCTAGGGCTTAATAACTCGAGTCAGTAAGACTACGAACTCCAATGAATCATATTTATTTAATTTTATTTTGTGAATGACCGTGCAATGCCTAAGTTCTTTAAGCTTTCTAACTAACCCATGTAGCAAGTGTTAGGCCAACAACTCCCAAACTAGATAACTTTAGGGTGCTAGGTGTAAAAACATTCCTAAGGCTTAATAACTCGAGTTAGCAAGGCTACAAACTTAAACTAGTCATTATCAATTTTTTTTTATTATTTTATATTTTTATATTTTTTATTTTTTTTTGCCAAAGATATCCATTCATTAGGGTCATTAATTCAAATCAACTGAGTCAAGGTCAAGATAAATCGGGTTGCATGCCTCACAATTAAGTTTCTAGTGTGCATATGTGAAGTGTGAAGCATAGAAGAGAGTGATACTCGAAGATAATCTAATTGAAGCATTTAACAAAGCATTTTGAATCCACATGTTCATTTCAGATTTTCCTCAATTTAAAACTATCATTTACCTCTATACACAAAGTATTAAACACATTCTTTAATCTCCAACAAGTTCCAAGATTACAAGATCATTACTTCTATATTTTTTTTAAAATTTTTTTCAGTTTTTAAACAAATCTTTTTGAACAAAATAGCAAATGCAAACACTATACAATACAAATGCAAACACTATATAATACACAATACCCCCAAACTTGAATGACACATTGTCCTCAATGTGTGAAGACAAAGATGTATAAATAAAGAGCATATGGGGTAAAAGGAACAATAATACCAAGTGAGTGAGACAACTCTGGCATTGGAGTCGCATGCAATCCCATAAAGAGATGCCAAAATGATCTTCCCCCAAACTTGGACATGAAGACCTGTCAAAACATAACTAATATATATATATGTAAAAACTTAGGTCTCTTAAGAAAATCTAAAATAGAATTAATAACACAAACATGAATTTTATTGAAAGATAAAAATCAACATAAGACACAAACCCGCACACAACAAAATTAGCCACAAGTTAATGCCAAAAGTGGTGCCATTTAAAAAGATGAAGTTGGCTTGGGCAATTCGTTGAACACCTGGTGTGTAAGACAAAAAGGAAGAGGGCCAAAGGTTGATTAGGGATGAGAAAATCCAAAAATTTTGGCCTTGCAAATGCAATTCACAACCCCAAATAAAGATTAAACCTCAACACCATCAATCCCGTCCTCCATTGATCAAAAATCGAGAGAAAAACTTACACCAAAGCGAAGAACAAAAAGCCCCTCCCTGTTGGTGCAATGGGATGATGAGAGTGATAGAGATGGAAGGATGATGGATTGACTAAGGTAGATGAGATGAAAGAGGAGGAGATGGAAATGGGAGATGGAAGTTTGAAAGGTGCAGGAGGGGTTTGGGGTCGTAGGTTGAGAGAGAGGGAGAGTTAGAATATGAAATGGGCTTTGCTTGGGGCTATTTTATGAAGGCCCGGCACAGGGGCGGGCGCCCTCGGGAAATTGGCGGGCGCCCGTAGCTTGGACGAACCAAACGGCGGGGGCCCGTGGCTGCATGGCGAGGCCCCGCGAATTCTCACACCTCACTGCCCATTTGAGCGGGCGCCTGCAGGAAATGGAGTTTTCTGCCCGCGGTTTCTGGGTAGAAAACTCTTCCTTGAAGTGATGGAGTGATTGTTGGCCTAACGGAGGCCGGGTTGGGGTCTAAAAATTCTGAAATTGGAAACTTAAGATCCTTTAGACCCGAGACACCTTGTAGAACCCTCGGAACGGGAATCGGAGCTCAATTGCAAAAGCAATATTTTAGAGCCCGAATTTCCCGTGATTTTTGGATTAGACGAGAAAGTTGCCGGAATGACCTTGAAGAATTCCGCAAATGGTAGTGAGACCTTAAAATGACTAAGAAAACCAAATATGACTTATGGAACGCCGTTCGAGACAATTCCAGAAAAGGTCACATTTTGGCTAAACTTAACTAATTTCTGAAAAATTCTT